CATACTCGCTCGCAAGCACCTCCTCCCGGACATGAAAGGTAATTCACTCGATCCTTGTGCACATTGTTTAGCTGGAAAACAACATAGGGTTGCTTTCCAAAGATTCTCTCCGCCCACAAGGAGAAAGAACATCCTCGACCTTGTACACACCGATGTGTGCTCAATGTCTGAGAGATCCATTGGTGGTGCATTGTACTTCGTGACCTTCATTGATGATCATTCAAGGAAGGTGTGGTTGCACCTATTAAAATCCAAGGATCAAGTGCTTGACGCCTTCAAGGAATTCCACGCTCAAGTAGAACGTGAGACCGGCCGGAAGATCAAGTGTGTACGGTCGGACAATGGAGGTGAGTATAGAGGTCCCTTTGAAGCCTATTGCAAGAAATATGGCATTAGGCTAGAGAAGACTCCACCCAAGACACCACAACTGAATGGGCTAGCTGAGAGAATGAATAGAACTATTGAAGAAAGAGTTCGTTGTGTGCTCTCTCATGCTAAGTTACCCAAATCATTTTGGGGAGAAGCTATATATAATGACCGTAGTTGACATTGTCAACCTCACACCATCGGTTCCTTTGAACGGCGCCATCCCAGAGGAAGTCTGGACGGGCAAAAAGGCTTCATACAATCATCTTAAGGTGTTCGGGTGCCGAGCATTTGTTCACATTCCCAAGGATGAGCGAGCAAAGCTTGATGCAAAGACAAAGGAGTGTATCTACCTTCGTTCACCCAGGGATGAATTTGGCTATCAGCTATGGGATCCAGTCAACAAGAAGGTTGTTCGTAGCAGAGATGTGGTATTCTTCGAAGACCAAACGATTGAAGATATTAAAAACTCGGAGAAACCAAGATTGAGAAGCAACAAGACGACCGAACCAACTCCAGTTCGACACGAGGATGAAACACCTCAAGATAATGATGATGAAAACCATGAGCAAAGCAACCAAGAGACTCATGATGAATCAAATCAGGAAGATCCTCAATCTAGTTCTCTGCCAGCACCAGAGCCGAGGCGATCCTCTAGGGAGAGAAGACCATCCATCCGGTATGACACCGAAGATTACATTACACTCACGGATGAGGGGGAGCCGCAAAGTTATAAAGAAGCCATCAATGATATTCATAAAGAAGAGTGGAGAAAAGCCATGCAAGAAGAGATGCAATCCTTGCATGAGAATCACACTTATGAACTTGTGGAGCTACCAAAAGGGAGAAGAGCCTTGAAGAATAAATGGGTGTATCGAATCAAGACTGAAGATAGTAGCTTAAAGCCTCGCTACAAAGCTCGGTTGGTGGTCAAAGGATTCGGTCAAGAAAAAGGCATCGACTTTGAAGAAATATTCTCTCCCGTGGTAAAGATGTCATCCATCCGAGTTGTCCTTGGCCTAGCAGCAGTTCAAGATTTGGAGATCGAACAACTCGATGTCAAGACGGCATTCCTTCATGGCGACCTAGAGGAAGAGATCTACATGGAGCAGCCCGAGGGTTTCAAAGTTCCGGGTAAGGAAAATCTAGTCTGTCGCCTCATGAAGAGTTTATATGGCCTCAAGCAAGCACCGAGGCAATGGTACAAGAAGTTTGAATCCTTCATGGCAGAGCATGACTTTACAAAGACGAAAAGCGATCATTGTGTCTTCATAAAGAGGTATGAACATGGCGACTTCCTCATACTTCTACTCTATGTTGATGATATGTTGATCATTGGACAAGATCACATAAAGATAGATGCCTTGAAAAAGGATCTAAGCAAGAGTTTCGCCATGAAAGATTTGGGACCGGCTAAACAAATCCTTGGGATGAGAATAACTCGTGATAGATCGAAGAGACTGTTGTGGATATCCCAAGAGAGGTACATTGAGAAAGTGTTGGAACGATTCAACATGAACAAATCAAAGCCGGTAAACACACCACTTGCTGGACACTTCAGGTTGAGTTCGAAGCAAAGTCCAACAAATGAGAAAGAAATGGAGGAAATGAAGAAGATTCCATACTCATCGGTAGTAGGCAGTCTCATGTATGCAATGATATGCACAAGACCAGATATCGCCTATGCAGTTGGAGTCGTTAGTCGCTTCTTGGCCAACCCTGGGAATGAACATTGGGTAGCGGTCAAATGGATCCTCCGATATTTACGAGGAACTTCCAAAAGATGCTTATGCTTTGGAAAAGGAAAACCTGTGTTAGAAGGATACACAGATGCAGACTTGGCCGGTGATATTGATTCAAGGAAATCAACATCGGGTTACCTAACTACTTTTGCAGGGGGGAGCTGTTTCCTGGCAATCAAAGCTGCAAAAGTGTGTTGCATTATCCACCACAGAGGCAGAGTACATCGCAGCTACTGAAGCTTGCAAGGAGATGTTGTGGATGAAGAACATTCTGCTCGAGCTGGGAATAGATCAAGAAAGGTACGTGTTGAAGTGTGATAATCAAAGCGCAATTTACTTGGCGAAAAACTCAACATTTCATTCCCGCACAAAGCACATTGACACAAGGTATCACTGGATCCGAGAAGTCCTCGAGGAAAAGAAATTGCATCTTGACAAGGTTCACACCGACGAGAACTGGTCAGACATGATGACCAAGGTAATACCGACAAAGAAGTTCGAAGATTGCTGTCAAGGTGCAGGTTTGCTACTACCCCCCAATTAAGTCGCGAGGGGGAGATTTTTTGGGATCCCTCCTTAATTGGAGAGGTTCTAGAAAATTCTAGAGCTTTCTAGAGAAGTATAGAATTTTCTAGAACGTTCTGGAGAATCCTAGAGAAGTCTAGAACTCTCTAGAAGCTTGTGGAATAGTGTGGAATCCTCTAGAATATTCTAGAGATGTGTGGAAACTTCCGGAAGCCTATGGAAGAGTATGGAAGGATATGGAAGAGAGTGGAAGAGTATGGAGACTCCTAGAGTGTGTGGAGCATTCTAGAGAATCAATCTCCACCCTTAGATAGAAATCATCCCCACCATTCATTGTGAAGGTGGAGTAGTATAAATAGGGGTAGGGGGCTTCATTCCTATCCATCCTAGCCAAGAGTGAATCCACTTCTAGAGTGAGAAAGTTAGAGAGCCTCTTTGAGAGAGAAGAGAGATAGCTTGGGAAGACATCATCCTCAAGCTTGAGTGAGCCACCATTGAGTGAGACAATTTTGTAACATCCTTGTATACCCTACTATTCTTTTGTATAGTGGAAGAATCTCCATATTGGAGAATTTAAATCGTGTGCTCCTATTGCTACCTTATTTCCTAAGTGCCTATCTTAACTTCACGAAGCGGGAAAGTCCAGAGTGTTTTTTCCCAACAGATTTCTCTGTTCAGGACAAATTGAACTTGAAATTTTCTCATTTCTTATCTAATTCAAAGTTAACAAAGTTTACCAGGCAATATAATTGAAACTCTGTTTGAAGTTCTCGAGCTTCACACTATTGTACGGACTATTTACATTGTAGATTATTATCCGAACTTGGTTAAAAGTTACTCCGTCTTAAAAGTGATGAAACGTCAATCGAATGAAATACGTACACTCATTTTTTGCTACCTCAAAAACTTATACTAGTATGTAATATCCGTAGTACTTCATTACTTTTTTTTGCGAGATAGTACTTCATTACTTATTGTTTAGAACTTAGAAGTGTTATAGAAATTACTCATACAAACCTATTGGTGATCCCGGCTTGTTTTTAAAAAGTAATTGTCCTATATAAAACTAAAATTAAACTTACCGAACAGTTTCACAAAAATGACGTCACTTTATCCCTGAGGCCTGAGGGTCCTCAACACTGACCGAACAATTTCACATAGTAACCTCACAATGCAATTATGGAGATTTGAACTGGAAACTTACTCACACCTACGCCTCATTTTTTAAGTTACACAAAAATCTCATCATATATGTCATATGCGGGACAAGAAATGCGATGGTCGAAATAACATGCATGTCGACCAGGCACGAGTCCCACTACCGTAAATTGAGATCGGGATTAAAGAGACTAGTTGAAACCATCATTTGTGGCAAAAGTAAGCGACCATATTGTGATATTGGGATGAATTGGTAATAAATTTTTACATGTATGTCTTATATACAAAAGTTTGACTCAGAGAATTAATATTTTTGCATCAAACTGGAGGTGAGCTAGATTAAAAACTTTCTATTGCTATGCCACTCGGATAAAATATGAATTATATCATTTGAATCAGAATAGTGGGGATTATTGTATGTATTGCGTGTATATTTGTACTTATTTTGCTTATATTGTGCCCGGGTATATTGGTATTAGTCTTAGTAATAGCTAATGGTCTAGAATAAACATACGACAACGTTTAAACATGGGACGAAGTATTATTCTCCACGAAGTTTAAACAGTCTCTCTGACTCTCTGTGCTTTAGTAAAGGGGTAAGACTGCGTACATCCGACCCTCCTTACCCTACCGTAGGTAGGAGCCTTTGCGGCACTGGGGTAAATGATGATGAATAATTTGATTAAAACTTTTCAAATAAGAGTGAATGACTCCTATTTTGTTGTTTGTGAACGTTATCCATGCATATGTTAGCCCTATTTAGAGAATTTTCTATTCTTCGAATCATGTTTTTTCTAAGAATTTATCTCAATTTTGTCTGAACCAATTCAAGTTGCAATCGACACAAAATCATCACTAGTTGAGAGAAAATTAAAAAACATTGGGGAGTTTGACTGATTTATGTCTAAACATGCCAAATCTAATAGATCAGGTGACATGAGATCGAAGTTCATTATAATAAAATACACATAAAATAATCATCTATAAAATACCAATTAAAAATATCTCAACTTTCCACTTCTACATCGACTAAATTCTATAGTAAACAATAAACATAGCTTGATGCCATTTCTTTAGATTTATATATACCACTTGATTTAGTTTAATTTAATGTTTAACTTTCTTTAGATTTATATATATTTACCACTTGATTTAGTTTAATGTTAAAAGAGTGTAATATAACACTTGAAAAAAACTACTAATAATTACCTCTAGTGGACTCATTTGGTAGATAAGTTTCCGTTGTATCGTTTTCTTGACAACAGCGCTGGTAGGAGGTCCATCTTGACCAAGGCCATAACCCACATCAAACACATTATCCATTCCACCGAGATTCGACACATCCGGAGCTCCCTACATTTCGGTCAAGGAAAAGACTTACTAAAACAATCTTCACAAACCAAAAGATTAGCCCTAAATTAAAGTATATTGGCAATTATGTGAAATTGTGAACTCAACATTATATTGGAGATTATGTGAAATTGTGAACTCAACATTAAGTAGCTGTTTATATTTAATTTTCGGCCCATTTGGTAATATTAAAATCGGCTAATTCTACTGAAATTTATGAAATTCTAGATTGAGTGCTGAATTGGCTGATTCTGCTGATTTATTTAAAAAAAATATTTAAAATATATTTTATTAATAAAATGAATAAAATATTATGTGTAAAATAGCTAAAATGATCCTCTATTGTAACTTCAGCCAATACGTCAGAAAAGTAACTTCAACCTTACTTTTTCTTATTATTACACAATTCAACGCTCGAAATAAAAAATTACGTGTTTGATGAAAAAGTTGGTTGATAAACCTAATAGACCGAAAAACAGAGCTACCAAACGGGCTTTATATTGGTCAACACCATTAGTTAGCCTAAGGGAGTGTTTGCAATTACTTCAACTTTAAAGAAGTGATTTTTTAAAGTGATTTTGAGAAAAATAATTAATAGTAAAAGTTGGTAGTGTTTGAAGAAAAAGTGATTCTTAAAAAGTAAAAGTTGGTAGTGTTTGGTAAAAGAAGTACTTTTTGTGTAATAGAAAAAGTGAAAAGCAGTTTAAAGCACTCTTCCACCTGCTTCCAGCTTTTAGCTTTTAAGTGATTAATTTAAGCAGAAGCTGTCATTTGAAAACACTCTTTTTAACTTTTTTTAAGCCAAAAGCTGAAAAGCACTTTTTTTAATAAAATGAAAACACTCCCTAAAACTCGTCATCTCACCCATGTGTTTTCAAATCTTAGCCTTTAATAGTTAATGTTATTTAGGAATTTCAAAAGAGAATATTACCCAAAATAGGACTAAAAAAGTTTAAAATTTCCAAAATATGACTGCCATGTTTTTATTTCCAAAATAGGACTAATTACTGTCATGTTTTGGCAGTACCAGACTTCAAACATGACAGTATTTTCCAAACTTGACAGTAATTACTCCTATTTTGGGAATAAAAACATGGCACTCCTATTTTAGAATTTTCAAACACTTTTAGTCCTATTTCGGGAACTTTCCCATTTCAAAATGTGAGAGTAATTAAAACAAGGTTATTTCACTAAATATGATTGTACGTTTCTTCTTCCGAGCTAGTAGTGTACTTTCATATTATGACATTATCACATATTAATATGTATACTCCGTATATGAAAGTACTATATTAACGTTGTAATATGACACTGATCTTAAGACAACAGTAAATATTCCTATTTGATGGAATAATATAATGATATGTACATAACTTCTATATATTTAGGATAAAAGATGCTATTTATACTCCAATTTTGGCCAATTACATAAATAAATTTAGTCTAAGGGGCAAAAAAGTATCCTATCTTTATGTTAGTAGTGTATTTTCTCGTGGGATATGGATGTGTACATAAAGGAGCATCTGGTCAATATTTTTCGAGAATAGTAGGAAGATCTACACCAACCCATAATTCCATATATTACGTCCAACATGGGACGTGGGCCCGTGACCAAAGCAAAACAAGCAAAAAAATACAAACAAAAAACATCTCGCCGAAAGTAAAAAACGAGAAGCAAACAAAGAAATTAAACCTATCAGTATACCAAATCCTAATTAAAGTTTGCATTTATTTATAGTATGTTTTTTTGGTCGGTCAATTTTTATATGTATCACATGAGGTTGACGGAACCTACAAACAAAAAAGTATATATTCCCCTCACATGCATTATTATGTTATTAAAAAGAAAAGGTATTTAATCTTTTCTCGTCACATGGCATGATCTTGCAAGAAAAATGAAAAAAAAAAAAAAAGAATGGGACCCATGTAGTTTATTCTTTAGTTTAATAAACAAAATTCATAATAATAACAACTCGTCTAATAGATAGAAGGTGTCACAAAAGTTAAGTCTTAAGTTTGAGTCCGGATAACGGGTCTAGTCAGGTCTGAAACCGTCTGATCTGATAAATGTCAGATTTCTGTGTATTTTATAACTGTTAAAGTCTAATCTCGTCTAATCCAATCTGATATGGATTTATTTCGTATAGTCAGATCTGGGACTGAAAATAGTGTAAGTAAAAACATGCATAACATTGGGACAATAGGAATATGATAAGCTAGAGTTGAGTTTTTCTTAAGAAAATATTTTGTGGTGTAATGTGTTGTAAAGACTCTAAAGAGTGAATGTGTATATGTACTCACATCTTTGATGTCTTGTTCGGTGGTGAAGCCAGTTCTAAGCATAGTTGCAGCGAGGTAGATTGCCAGGCTTATCTTTTGAGGAAACTTGTACGTCGCATCTGTAACGCTCAATCCTCCTGCGCTATGCCCCACCAAGATTACCTATTCCTCGTTTAATTTAGCACGCTTGTATACCAACAATCCAACATATGAATGTGTGTAGGAGAAAAAGTTTCCCAAATAGAAGCAAATAAATTTGGAATTACAAAATATCGTTGTTATATTTTTCTTTACCAAATAGGAATAGTATTTACTATCGTTTTAGTGTTATAATTATCGAAATAGTTGGAATATCAGACATTAACATAACAATATTTACTGACATTAATTAATAGCAATTTCAAAACACATTTACTCTTATTTATGTCAATTTCTCTTGTCCTTTGCATATTTACGCGGACAAAGAACAAGTTTTGACTCCAACGCAACCATACGGAGAATTATATTGTCCTCAAACTCAAATAGAGTAAACATAACGTTTATATATACATGGTCCATGAATATATACTTGTTAAGTCATCAAACCCGAAACCTTAATTAATATAGTACGAGAACTAAGTACATAATTACAAATTAATGATCGTTCGACATTATCATGACTCATTGACTCGGTCACAACATCAAGATTGTTTTGCTCTTACAAGTCATCGGACATCTTCCTAAATATACAAACTAACATATAAACCTTTTACCACTATATTAAACCCCTAAATGGTGCACTGACAGTTTTTTATCTACAAACCAAAACGTGACCACATTTTTAATCCAATATACGTAGTATGTATTATTGGCATATTTCGAATCTCAGGATCTCAAATTTACTATTGATCCACATGATTACTTTTCATTGTCAATGAAAATATATTTACCATGTGAACAGTTTGTGTGTGTATATTAATATTTCAAAAATAGAGTTTTGTAGTACACAGTATATACGAGTACTATATACGATAGGATATCGCATATAACCCTACATTGGATTTTTTATTTGCTTTGTTTTTATGTCCAATTTACCTAATTTTTTGGGCGTGTATGAAAAATGGAAAAGAAAAAAGATGTATCAATTCAGATTCTCTTTTATATATGGTCCTATCACTTATGATCTATCATAGTAGTACTAGCTAAGCTAGAGAGTATGACGGGTAACTGTCCTGATTTGTGATGCCTATAGAAATCCAAAGGTTTTGGTGATAAGAATCTAGATATAAGCACCCATATTTTTTTGTCATATTTAGAAAAAAAAATTACGTAGTATTTTTATAATATCAACTTGTGGTTAAATAAAATACTCCGTAGGTAGTAGTGTATAATTTTACCAAAACTATAATAATAATAATAAGACTAAAATATAATAGTAATGTATACGAACAGGGATATACTCGTACGTTTCGGCTTAAAATAGAATGTGTGTTCGTTGACATGAAAAAATAGTTAATGCATATATAAAAATCATATTTTATGGGAAAAACCAGTCATGATGGTAATTCTAGTTGAAGATATACGTGTTTGGTTGTTTAGTGATATAAAATTTTCCCAATAACAATTTTGCACATGAAAAAAAAAATATAGTAAGAACTAAGAAAGGATAACGTGACAACGGATAACATTTAACCTCATTCTATCTTACGTGAAAAAAGGGGGGGAATCGTTGATAGCGGAATTAGGAGAAGATTTTCTGAATTGGAATGAAACACAATATAATTAAATATGAGTTTCATTCTTATCCACTCATATAAGTTCTGTTAATTAATCTCTCTTTTGAAAAGAAAACACATTTAAATCAATTCTCTTTTCGAGTTTTGTCTATATTTTAATCTTGTTTAATTTCAAGCAATAATTTTTTAAAAAAAATTGTCCCAAATAAGAGTAAAAAGGTTTTGAAAATTTCAAAATAGACTCCAATATTTTTATTCTCTACATATGAGTAGTTCCTGTCAAGTTTCAAGAAAAATCGCCACGTTTAAAGTCCGATAATGTTAAACTTGCCAAAAATTACTCTTATTTCAAAAATAAAAACATAACATTCCTATATTAAAATTTCATAAAGTTTTTACTCATAGGTAATTTTCGGTTTCTCTTTACAATTTGTCCAAAAGGTTGAATCTCAGGTCCTCCACGCCCCGACCCGACAAAGCATATGAGAGGTTGCAAATCACGTTGACTCTATCAAAAAATAAAAACATAACATTCTTATATTAAAATTTCATAAAGTTTTTACTCATAGGTAATTTTCGGTTTCTCTTTACAATTTGTCCAAAAGGTTGAATCTCAGGTCCTCCACGCCCCGACCCGACAGAGCATATGAGAGGTTGCAAATCACGTTGACTCTATCAATCCTAACTAATGGTGGTAGACCTTATACTCATGCGCCTCGACCAGGTTTCTCTTTACAAGTATGCATAGAAAGCTACCATCTATCATGTATATGTAGTGAGAGAAATCATCATGTCAGGCCGGCCTGACCGGGATAGCCGTCCGGCCGAGCCTTTTTGGCGACCTTCCCGGTGGAATTTTTTGATGAAATTTTTTGACCATGTTCCTCATCAAGTCTAGTTTGTCCATACCAAATTTCAGCTCCAAATTCGATCGGGAAGGCATTCAAATCTGTTTTTGAAGCTGACTGCGTTTTTATATGTATATTTTGACGCAGTCAACTTCAAAAAACGATTTGAATGTCTTCCGGATCGAATTTTGAGCTGAAATTTGGTATGGACAAACTAGACTTGATGAGGAACATGATCAAAAAATTTCATCAAAAAATTCCACCAGGAAGGTCGCCAAAAGGGCTTGGCCGGACGGCTCTGCCGGTCAGGCCGGCCTGACAAGAAGAGTTCTCTATGTAATGATGGACAATAGAAATTAAAATAGAAATGAAGGTGGGTATAAGCTAGGTAGATGGGGAAGAAAATATCCAAAGACTTATGTACCTGTTGATGTGGAGGCAAGGAAGCGAGGAAATCAAGGAGGGGCTTGTTATAATCTTCAAAGCAAAGTATATCATTTGCGTTGGACGGGTCTATACCGGCGGCTTTGAGGTCAAGGCAGGAGACTTTGTAGCCGGAGCTCTCCATCAGACACCTCAGCTTGTACCAACACCAAGCTCCTCCTCCTACGCCGTGTATAAGGACGAAGTGTGGCGGCTCCGGTGGTGCCGCCACCACCTCCTCTTCCTCCTTAGTCATCTCTTCCGCCGTCTTCCTTTTTGCAGATTCAATTCCCACGGTGTTCGATTCTATAAGTTGCATGCCTTAGAAGTATATGTGTAAATTAAATTTTCTTTGTACTAATTCTTAGCTATATAGCCATGTATTCATCTATACCCAAAATAAATAGAAGTGACTAAAAGAAGAGCACATCTTAGACGATGTGGACAAAGACTAAAAGACGGATGTGGGACAGACACATAAATAGCTATATAAAAAAATGAAGTTTATTAGAGCTAATTGGGAAAACTATCAAATAAGCCCCCGTACTATACCGAAAAAGTCAATTAGACCCTCGTACTTTACAAACACTCAATTAAGTCCTCGAACTATTAAAAAACGTTCAATTAAGCCCTTTTGGTCGGTAAGTAACCGGTTTCCCGGTTAAATGTAACCCGTTTCCCGGCAGCCGCCGTTGCTGGGGTTTGAGCACATCGTCGCCGTTGTCGCCGTTTAACCGGGAAACCGATTACTTACCGACCAAAAGGGCTTAATTGAACGTTTTTTAATAGTTCGAGGACTTAATTGAGTGTTTGTAAAGTACGAGGGCCTAATCGACTTTTTCGACATAGTACGAGGGCTTATTTGATACTTTTCCCGAGCTAATTTAGTACCTCAAATACTACGTAATTGATTAAAGTTGTCGAAACTAAGATTAAAAAGCTGAATGTTATGTATTATAGAAAAATTATGGAGACAATTTCTTATACGAAGTATAAAGTTAAAACATAGACAAAATATATAAATAGAAGAGTATTTAGTAATCTTTTGACTATTATGTCATTGACACTTTTAGTACTCAGTTATGATGTTTTCCACTTTTAATCCTTGACTATGGTACTATAGCTAGACATTTTTTGTACTCGTCTTTGAAAATTTCCATATTTAATCATTCGACTTTCATAATAAAATCATAGTGGAAGGACTAAAAGTAGTGTAAATTTGATAATACTCATAGGACTAAATGTGGTAATATTTGATGTCGAGGACTAAAAGTGTTTGTAGCAGGATAGCAGAATCTACTCACTCTGAATTGGGAAAATTCAACGCTTTTAGTAGGATCAAATAAGTCATATTTTGAAAGTAAAATATAAAAAAACTTAATTATTTGTGCAATTTGTATATGCATGGTGTAGTCCTGTTTGAATACTTTCACCGCATTTTGGCTAAGATCAAGTGTAGAAACAATTTCTGGAAATTTTGTACATGCCCATTCACCCATATGACCTCGTTTCATAGACATTTCTTTTAAGTTTTAAAAATGAATAGATAAAAATTTGGGTTAGGTCATAGATATTACTAATGAAAAGAGTTTAGATAAATATAGGACCTCTTTTAATCTTTACCAGAAATGTGAACTGCCTTTGAATCATTTAGAAAGTTAGGATTAATATGACAAATGTGATCTCACTCCCGTCAGGACAGAGATCATTATACGTGTCACTCGTACTCAGAATGTTCTCGGTGAGAAAGGAAGGAGAATTAGGGAACTGACATCACTGGTCCAGAAACGGTTCAAGTTTGAGGAGAACACTGTGGAACTGTATGCTGAAAAGGTGCAAGATAGGGGTCTTTGTGTCATTGCTCAGGCAGAGTCTCTCCGCTACAAACTTTTTGGTGGTCTTGCTGTTAGGAGGGCATGTTATGGTGTCCTGCGATTTGTTATGGAAAGCGGAGCAAAGGGTTATGAGGTAATTGTCAAGATGGTTACATGATTTCTTCAGGTCAACCTGTGAAGGAATAAATCGACACTGCTATGAGACACATTCTAATATGACAGGGAGTGTTGGGCATAAAGGTTAAGATCATGCTTGGGCATGACCTTGAGGGAAAGACTGGGCCAAAGTGTCCTCTTCCGGATCTTGTCACTATTCATCCTCTTAAGAATGAGGAAGAAACCACCTCAAAGCCGCATGCTCCTGCAATGGCAGTGTTGAGGAAAAATTTATGGTGTCCAATCCTGATAAATATCTTTGTATTTGTGTAGCTATTTTGTCTAGGTATTTTATCCCATTGAGATCTTTATTAGCTATTACTAGACTAGCTTTATAAGGAAATGTGTAAAGTGTGCTATTGGGCCCAATCAATAAAAGAGCCCAATCATGCTTAGGTCACATCACACATTCCCTAGGCATATAAATACTGCCTTTAAGGGAATGTGCAGTAAGCCTTTTACAGAATATTCACGCACATTAGCGCATAGTGAGAGAGAGAGCCGAGTTCCTTTCTCGATACCCTGTTCTGTACAATTCGAGATCATTGTTTGGTATTGAATGGGATCATCGTTTCTTCTTTACTCTATCTATTCTATCATATATTGTTAGTTTGATTGTTGATACAGGGACAAACAATTGGTATCAGAGCCGAGCGTGAAATCGATTGAAGAATCTCTGCAATTTTGGATCTACCATTGGCGTTGAAGACAAGCTTCTCGACAATCTGAGTTTATGCGAGTTTTTTTTTTTGTTTGATAAAGCAGCAATAGGCGTGAATCTGTGATTTCAGGGCGTTTTTTATCAGAATTTGAGATATAGCAGTCCAGAATTCCGCTTCTTGGTTTTTCGGATAACATTCTCAAAGAACAGGTGCGAAAATCGGTTTTTGAAAACTCTTTCTCGAAAGATTAGTTCTGGACAGCAAGTTCTCGATAGACAGGTTTTCGACAGAGGTTTCTCGATAAGAGTTATCGAAAAGAGCTTCTCGAAGAACAGGTTCTCGATAGGGACTTCTCGACAGCAATTTCTGGATAGGAAGTTTTTGACAGGAAGTTCTCGAAGTATAGCATTCTCGAAGTTAAGGTTCTCGATAAGCAACATCGAAAACAGCTTCTCGAACTCGGATATCGAAAATGCATTCTCGAAGTTAAGGTTTTCGATAAGCAACATCGAGAACAGCTTCTCGAAGGTTGATACCGAAATAGCGAGAAAGGGTTTAGACATTTTAAAGTTTGAAACAAAAGGACAGAGGGGCAAAATTGTCTTTTGAGACCCGCTGATTTCTACGGCTATCGTGTCCGCAGGTCGCCCGCGCAGGGGGGTGCGAATTTTCGATTCTGAACTGAAAGCCGGATTTCTTGTGTGCGCGAGAGCTCCCCTCTTCTCCTTCACCTTTTAATATTAAGAGAGAAGTGGTTCATATGTATAGGCTTCAAACTTTCCAAGGAGTTTAGGTGTGGGAAAGTTAAACAAGCTCACTTTCCACCTTTGCTTGAAAGTGTACACTTTTCCATCCTTTTTTTTTCAAGAGTTGATTTGAGCCACTTCAAAGTCCAAAACTCCAACAGCAAAGGTGAACCTTACAACCCAAGCTTCCAAGAGTCAACCTTGAGTAAAAAAAAAAAAAAAAAAAAAAAAAAAAAAAAAAAAAAAAAAAAAAAACTCAAGGTTAAGACTATTTTTCTCAAGACCAAGCTACACTTCAAGGTTCAGAAAATTGCAGAAACTTCAATCAACCTCACGTCTACGGTCAATATTCAACAATCAAGAATGGATGCCTCTAGCTCATCATCATTGTGTAAGAACCAATGCGCTGAAATTTCTCACAAGCTTGAAGCAAGCAAATCTGACAGTCAACAAATTATCAAGGAATTGGAAGAGAGTTTAGCAAACAATCACAAAGTCTTGCTGAAGCATCTGTATAACAATGCCACACTCAACCTACAATTGGAAAATTCCAAGGAAAATGTTAAGAAATTGACCCTGGAGACAGAAAAGCTAGGAAAAACAGTCACTGACCTAACTACGAGTTTACGTGAAACTAAGACAGAGCTTAGCCAACAACGTCGTTTAAAAGAAGTTCTTCATGAACAAAGAAGTGCGCTTTACAGAAAAATCAAAGAACTTGAGGACTTGATTGCAAAAAGAGGTCAAACTGAACAAACCATTTTTCTAAATCAACCCAAGGACACTCGTTTCTATAATTCGAAAGAAGGACTTGGTCTGTCTAACCCATGCAACTTGAAGAAAGTTAAAAGTCGTCAACTTTATGACATCAGTTACATGGGTTTCGGATTGACCAAGTTAATGTCCTTTACGGGAGCAAAAGAAACCGAGGAACTTGAGGATGATAAAAGAAAGAATAAAGCAAAAGCAGAAGTCCCTTTTGATTACTCAGCACTTAACAAGAGTTATAACACAAAAGAACCATCTTTTTTATCAGATGAAGACTTGACCTTTTATCCTCCCGAGAAGGAATCTGTGCCAGACTCTGAAACTTTTTCTACCTCACAGTCTACAAATGATGACGTTTACATTCCCCCTTTGATAAAAAAGATTGCAGATTTGCACACTTCTTTAGAAAATGAAAAGAAAATTTTTGAATCTGAAAGGGAAAGACTGTTGAGTGAAATCACCATTCTTAAAGAAAAATCCCAATCCAGCACAACTTCCTCCTCATCAGACAATACTTGTTCTGAAAAGATTTCTAATAATCAAAGTCATTGTTCTGAAAAGGCGTTCGCTCAGTCCGAGTCTCATATCAAAGAAGGAAACAATATAAGTGAGAGACCGGAGAGGAGAATGGAGTGGATACAAGAGAGGAGAAAAAGGCAAACAGAAAAACAAAAGACATTTTCAAAAATGAAGAAGACTTGCTCTAGTGCTTTATTTTATTCAAAGAACAAATGTAGCTCTGTCTCAAGTAAACAATCTCGTGGTTATACTTTAGACTTTTCCCCTAAGCTTAACGTTTCTAAGGCCTCTTCTGAATGTTTTCCTTCTGTGAATCATGTTGGAGCTTCAAACTCAAGTGGTAGAGTTTCTGATTCTTTCTCTAATGATTCTAATGTGAATGACATTGTTCATAACTGTCAAAAGAAGCCAAAATATGATAAAGAGACTCTTGAGGGTGTGTACACTCTGCCATTTCTAAAGTATCCCCTCAAAGTCCGCTCACGTAAGCATTTGAAAAGGCTTTCTCAAGAAAAACTGTTAAAACCCCATTTGACAGAACAACCATTCTCAACTGTTGAAGTCTTTTCCAATCGCACTTTTGAACAAAAATGGGTCCCAAAGTCAGAAGTTGTCAAAGATAAACCTCAAGATGCGTCAAAGGCAACTGACTTAGGATCCAAAATCAAACAAAAATTTCATAATTTCTTTTCCACTAATAAGGCAGGACCCATCTTGAGGTGGGTACCAAAATGCATTTAATCTGTTTTGCAGGTTCGTCATGTGTGGTAACTGAACCGATTGCTCCACACACATGGCGGGTACGAAGACGAGCAGTGAGCAATCACCAGGTGCACATTATCAAGGAGAGTATTGACGTGTATACTCTCCACCGAGCTGAATGTCAACAAATGCACCTCCATAATCGTTACAACACGTCAACAAGAGTGAAAAGAATGAAGCAACCATCTGACCCGCAACAATGACCTGCATGATGGAAACAAGTTCAACACGGATGGTTTGGAAAACTCGACAAACTCCCTGTGCAACACCTATGCTCGTTGCACCCGATCAGTCTGCATTCTCACGCCAGCACATTATGCTTATCTGGCTGCATTCTGAGCTAGGTACTACACAAAGGGAGAGAAAGACTTGAAGAACCCCAGGTGCACATTGTGAAGGGAAGTATTGGCATGTATACTACCCCAATGAGCTGAAAATCAAGAAATGCACACCTCAAAACGACACATGTCAAGAACAAACAACAAATGCTTATTCTGAGGGGGAGTGTTTCTTTTTCACTCCTCCTGGTGCCAAACATCGAAGAAAGCACATTCCAAGGGGGAGTCTTCAACTTTACTCCCCAAATGACAAATAACACCTTCCACATTCTGAGGGGGAGTTACATTTTTCTCCTCCTGACGCCAATCAAGGATCAATGCAAGACAACCCAAGAAAGCCATGAGCGAATAAGCAAAAGTGCCTGAAGTGTACCTGACAAGGACACAGAAGAAAATGGTGATGAAATTAATGATGTGCTGACCGCCAAAATTGACGACACAAAGGTCAAAATCACAAAAGAGCTGATGCACCAGGTGCTACAAATCCTAGAAGAAGGATGCATATGATGAGCTGACCACTGAGAAAGACATCATGGAGGACATGATCACACTGGGTCACACTGAACAAATGCTGCACCGGTCAGACTCATCTATGAATAAATGTGCACAACCGGTTAGGCTCATCTCCCATGTCAAGTCAGGAAGACTATCCCGACCGTGGAGGACTCTAATGGCAACTCTGAAAAAGTGCTTCACTGCCAAGCACACTGGATTCGACAAGTGCAACATGTACCTTTTTGACCATCTTCCACGGCGTGGCATTTTGCAAGAGCTACGACTACGTCTCGCTTATCTGAGATGACAATCTTGAGCTGATTAGAAAGAGGAGAAGGACCAATCAAATCAAACATCTACCATATATGAGATGGTTTTCACTGCTGGTGCGACGCTTCTCCAGAACAACTCCAACTATCCACCGACGACTATCTATTGAGAGCGTCAGCACTCCATCCCTCAAGTACCTTCAGAGGGTGACTGAGGATCCTACACTGGTACCACTCACCATACCAGTGCCTCTGTTGCAGTTAGCTGATCCAAATGATCCATCTGTCCGACGCTACTGCCAGAAGAATAACATTATACTCCTTATGGCTCAGATAAACCCCCCTGAGCCTACCCCAGGGAGTCAGCCAAGCCAAGTGAGGGTCCTGAGAGTTCAACCTAGCCACATAGATCAGTGGCAGTCCGGCCCCATGATGATCAGACTACGTCTGCTGAGGGCCACCCCCGAGTTGCTGAGGAGACTACCAATGACTCGTCCAGCGCAGCCAGACCACAAAACGCTGACGATGAGGGCTCCGAGAGCAAGGCTGGAAAGAGCGACAACGACAAGGGTGATGAGGAAGACGATGATGCGGATGACAACGCAAGGAAAGCCAGGAAAGCTTCAGTACAAAAACGCCGCTTCATTATCAAGATTCCTACGACTACAGATAAAGAGGAGTCTTACTTGAGAAAGAATAGTCAAGTACAAATTATCAGTGAGACTCGCTCTAAGCAACATCATGATGTCCCCTCTTCTTCACTTACTCCTGCGAAGAGTGCAAACATCAAGCAACCTAGCAATGACCTTACATGACAGTTTCTCAGAGCTAGATAAAATAAACCGGGCTAACCCCATAGGCACAGAGACTGATGTTTTCAGTCTCCGAGTAGAAGACGCAGCATCTACCCCAACTGCGCATGCACAAGCCTCCCCTAGCCACTCTGCTGCCTCCCAACAGGTAGTAGTTTCAATATTAGGGGATCTCATACCCACTCTCTGCCCCCTTTCGGAGCATACGAGGATATCTAAAGTGACCACCAGCCCCAGGTCACTACCCCTCCTTCTACCACGTTGTGTCTAGGTGTCACCCTCCATATATTTTCTAATTTTTCTAGGACACATACATTCTTCACACCACTGCACTCTACAGGTCCACTTTACCTATCAACAACGATCGGAGATATGTTTATGATGATCGGAAGTCCTGCTGCTTAACAGATAACTCAATCATTATCTGCAGGCCACACACACCGGTTATCTTTACCGATGTTGTGACAACGGTTACTACCCCTGTAACCGGAAACCCTGACCCTACCGACCTTTCTGTCATTCTGCAGCGCTTCTTGGATTCCACCATTAAGCCATGGGTGCACGAAGCAATAACAGCTTAGGCACAGGAATTCAGGACCACCCCGGCGCTTCTTAATGACATCATCCAAACTCTAACTCAACCCTCATCCTCCCACTCCCAACAGCAACTCACTCCAATCCTTACCCTATCCCATTTGACCATTTACCATGCCATTCGATGACCTAGCATCCATTATGCTAGCGAGAATTTTGGAAACCAAAGAAGCTCCACTCACTGACAAACAAAGAGCTCTTATTGTGGTACTTGAAACCTAAAGCACATGCAATGACAGTCTCCGCGGTCACAAACGTTCACATGAGGACCCTGATTATTCGGCTCCTCATGAGGGGGAGAATAAGAGGCAACAGATACTCGAGCATGGTGCTTCATCTAGCCAATAACCCCAACCTGAACCCTCAAACAACCAAGCTAAATGCAAGAATTCTCTCGAGGATGCAGATTTTGAGGGGGAGTTTTCAATGTTCTCCTCCCAAGCGCCAATTATCATCAAAGGCATCCTACTGAGTGCTACAGTTGAGGGGGAGTACAAAGAGAAATGAGAGACAAGTCCCAATGGCTTAGTAAACCCAACTAAGCCTACCCAAGGGGCAAAGCCGAGAGTGAGTGGGTAACTGAGTGAACACTATGAGAGTCAGGAAGCAGAAGGCTCATGTGAGCGAGAAAACAATAATCAATGACATGTATGTTACCTCAATTCCGCTTTCAATTGAGAGAATTACTCCCAGTCACTCAAATAATCCGGACAATTCCCCATAGGTTCAGGAGTGAATTTATTCAGATCCCGGGTAGAAGTCGCTGCATTTTGTCCAACCGGCGCATGCACAACCCTACCCTAGACCAGTCACTTGTCTCCCAACAGACATGTGCTTAATCATATTTCATGGGGAACCTCATATATTATTATTGTCTCCTTCCGAGGCAAGTGATACTGACTACAGTGGCCTCCGCCCCATGCCACTGAACTTTCATTGATCACGTCGTGTCTAGTTATCTCACTCCCAAATGTTTTGAATTTTTTTTAGGACACAGACACTTTTTAGAGTCAGTTGCAGGTCTTCATGACCCGCGAGAACTTCCATAGGGCTCATCTACTTTAGATGTAGACCAATGATTGGAAGGAAGTCCTGCTGTTGCAACATAGAAATCACCAACATGTTCAGGCCATCGCTCTAGAGTTTATCTCTATAGTGATGATAACGGGTGTCTACGCGACCTCGGGGGGCTACCACTTTCTTTGCTGATCTTTATGATTATGCCATAACAACTAGAGTGACATCTACTTCAGATGCTTCACAATGACTGGTTGGAAGTCCTGTTAGAACTTTAATGCTTCTATCATTTTACACAGGCCACACATTGGTGTTTACATTGATGTTGTGATAACGGAACACTATGGTGTCTCCGGTTTTTATCTTATCCTTTTTCCCCTTTTCTTTTTGTTTTTTTTCAGAATAAAAGAATAAAAGCATGACGTCCCGATTCATCGGATCGTCATGAGGGGGAGAATGGTCCACATGCTGTTTACTACCAACAAATCATTCTTGGACACATCTCTCCTCCATCACAAAAATCAACAACGGCTCTCTATTCTCTCAAATCATCAGAAATGCCAAGACAGCTTCAAATCAAATTGTCAGCTATACTCAGAAGTTAACCATCTCTTTCCGCTGTGCGACCGACGAGATCTCCTCAAAAGCAATCTTTTTCCGCTGTGCCACCTACACAATGGAGGAGACAAAGGTCGGGTAATCAAATTTGAAGATGAATCCCATGCGCGCCCGGAAATCAACCGAACACATGCTCCAAAGGTGCCGTCGGAATTCATTCAAGCTGATCAAGAGCAACTTCTAGAAGGCAAGGACTACAATCAAGACTTTGAAGATTCCTCAAACCCCGACATCAAAGAACAAATTGCCAAGAAGATATCAAAGGGGATATTGCAAGGATTTCTTCAGACAGCCTTCTCAAGAAGCCGAGTTCAAAGACAAAGGAAGCCGAGCTGCATTGAAGTTCAAGACAAAGAGGAGCAACTGGAGAAATCTTATCTACGTTCTCCTCTACATTGCTGAATCAACACAAAGACAAAGATATCCACGCTGCAATGCTGATTGAACATGATTGAACACCAAGGGGGAGATTGTTGAGGAAAAATTTATGGTGTCCAATCCTGATAAATATCTTTGTATTTGTGTAGCTATTTTGTCTAGGTATTTTATCCCATTGAGATCTTTATTAGCTATTACTAGACTAGCTTTATAAGGAAATGTGTAAAGTGTGCTATTGGGCCCAATCAATAAAAGAGCCCAATCATGCTTAGGTCACATCACACATTCCCTAGGCATATAAATACTGCCTTTAAGGGAATGTGCAGTAAGCCTTTTACAGAATATTCACGCACATTAGCGCATAGTGAGAGAGAGCCGAGTTCCTTTCTCGATACCCTGTTCTGTACAATTCGAGATCATTGTTTGGTATTGAATGGGATCATCGTTTCTTCTTTACTCTATCTATTCTATCATATATTGTTAGTTTGATTGTTGATACAGGGACAAACAGGCAGTAGTGCCAACCACTGATATTGAAGTTCCAGTTATGTAGGCACACATCAACTGTCAGAGCTGTGTGTTTACCTTACATGATAATATGGATTCTATGTTTCTTACTACTATGTCCCTGCATTCTTACTTCTAAGATGATCTGTGCTAAGAAAATTTTGTTCTTAAAAAAAAACGCTGCAACAGGAAAACTAATACGGTGTGTGGAAAACTAATACGGATCCGTTTGTTCAATTGTTCCTCCCACATTATGATAAAAAGTTTTTTTTATTTGATTTCTATACGGAGTACAATTAATTACATGTCAAATCAGTTACAATTAATTCGATTCGATCCGTTATAGTTACTCGATCCGGTTAGTTACAGTTATCTGAATCCGACCAGTTACAATTATCTGATTCAACCAGTTACAATTATCCTATATGACCAGTTACAATTACTCGATCCGACCAGTTATAGTTATCTGATTCAATCAGTTACAACAATCACATCTGACCAATTACAATTATCCGATCCGATCAATTATAGTTACCCGATATAATCATTTACCGTTACAGTTACTCTATCCGACCAATTACAGTTATACGATTTAATCAGTTACAATTATCTGATCTGACCAATTACAATTATCGGACCCAATCAATTACAGTTACAGTATCCCGCACGGGAAAGTTACAGTTACCTGGTGACCACCGCTAGCCACCGTCACCAGCCGCCGCCCCTACCCAAATGCACCTTCAGCAGCCGCCTCTAGCTGCCGCCCCTACCCGAACGCACCGTCACTAAGCCCCTCCCCTTTCCGGTGCCCAGCCTCCTCATCCCGTCTCTAGCCCAAACCCCAACCTGCCTCCAACCTCCCCAACCCACTGCCACCGCTGGCCACTGCCGGCAACCACCACCCCTGTTCAGCCCTCTCCCCAATCTTGCACAATCACGGCCGTGCTTCCTCACCCCTCCCATTAACCGTTGCATCCCACCTCCGTACCTCGCCCCCAGATCCAGCTCCGGCCAGAAGAATCATAGTCGCCTACCACACTCACAGGTCGAACCCAGCCATCCGCCGTAATCGCCCTGCACCCTACCCTAAATCCCTGTCCCCAACCACCGTGCAATCTGAAACTAACAACCTGATTCATTATTGATCTTGTAGATCTGAAGCTCGCCTTCAAAAATGGCGTCTAATCAAGAGTGAAGGAACCTCGTCATTTCCGACAGTGATTGCTATGGAATGGCTAATCAACAGCAGGATAGGGGTCTATTAGTCAATGGATAATTATTTAGTCTCTTTTTTGTCAATTCAAATTCTAGTCCTATTTTTGTCCACTCACAAGTCCATGGTATTATTCTTGTCATTATTTCATAAAAATATCGGTATTATAGACAATTCTTCCTTAAAGTATGACAAAAATTGGTTGAAATTCAATTCAAGCTAAGGATGTTTTTACTTGCATTTGGACAAACTATACTGGATCAAATTAGATCAAACCAGCCCATTATTGGACAGTTATAATAAAATACATAGACATCAGACATCTGTTAGATCATATCAGTTCAAACTAAATCACACTTAACTCCGTACACCAAATCATATCCTACCAGAAAATTTTAACCCAATTAAAATCATGTGAATGGGACGTGGAGTCGCGTAGACATGAGAGTATATTTAAATGAGGATAAAACTTTCATGGGTAAATGAAACACAAGACTGAATCACACGAGAAATCATTTCGAAAAAAATAGAGAGAATTCCCAAATTAGGAGTAAAACATGAGGTATTTGCAAAAACGGGACCTATTGTTTTAAAATTCGTAAATAGGAGTAAACATTTGTGTTTGGACAGAAATAGCCTCCGGTGTCGTAACATTGCGCATCGCTCCCTTCCTCTTCAATTCACCGCAAACATCTCTTCCTCTCATGAACTCTAGATCTGCCATCGATTTTGGTCTTGCATCGCAGTTCCGCCGTCGACCATAGCCCTGCTCTCATCGGCAACTGGGTAGGTCTTCTTCTTCTTCTTCTTCTTCTTCTAATTTCAGATCCTCTGTTCTCTTCTTCTTTGGATTTTTTGAACTTGAATTTTATTTATTAATTTGGATTTTTTGGATTGGAATCTTATTTATTCAGCAAAATGCCACTTTTATAATATGAAAATGTCAAAATTATTGGTTATTTAAAAACATTGCCACATTTGTGACAGTACATTTATCAGGATGACAATCTGAATATGTCATATGTACATAAGAAAATGCCATCAACATGTCATTATTCATATCAAATGCAATTCAAAAAAGAAAATGACATCTCATGACATTTTCGTAAGAGTAATAATGTCATTCTCATGACACTTTCGAAACAAAAATGACATATTTAAAAGTGTCAGTTTTTTTAGTAACAATGTCAGTTGCATGACATATTGTCATCTTGATAAATGTAATGTCATAAAAGTGACATTTGTCTAATTGCTTGTAATTTATGGCATTTTGAGGTTCCAAATTAATCAAAATTAATTAAAAAATGAAATCTAAAGAAGAAGAAAACAAAGGACCGAGATTTGAAGAGGATGGCAATTGAAGCAGAAGACAAAAAGAGAGGAAGAAGAAGAAGATGAAGAAGAAAAAGAAGCTAGAAGAAGAGAGGAGAAGAGATGGAGAAAAATACCTGGGAGTCGCCGGAGAAGAGCATGAGAGCGGCCTGGGCGTCTTCATTGCAAATCGCCGTTGGTCTTCATCGTAGATGGCCTGTGCATCTTCATCGCAAATCGTACGTTGTTGGTCTGCATATCATCGTTGTTGGTCTGCATCTCTTGGAGCCGACAACTACTTTGGGGTTTTATTAAATGAAGGGTAAAGAAGTAATTGGGAGTCCTATTTAGGGAATAATAAACTTAATTTTGTGGAATTTAAACCATGTTTTAGCCCTATTTAGGACAATTCCTTAAAAAAAAAATAGAATAGACAATAAATATATCTCGATAGTTTTCTTAAAATGTACCGAGTCATATTCGTCTATCTTTACTATGGAATGGCTTTCCACGCGATTCGCTTATGCGTTACAGCAGCAGATATCTCCTTGCAAAATCAAAAATGATATTTGTACCCACTATTATACCCACTTTTGTACCCACCTATGTTTGTGAAGTGTTTTTTTGTCTATGAACTCCGATTCACAGACAATATTTTGCACCAACAAAATATTGTCTGTGAACCAAGTTCACAGACAAAAAAAAACTTTCACAAACATAGTGGGTATAAGGTGGGTATAAGAGTGGGTACCTTAAGCATTGTTGTTGTAAAATAGACCACGCATAACAGCAGGTTCTCTTGCTAGGAAACCATTTATTCACATTATTGCATCGTTGTTGAGTGTAAATTTTAATATATATATATCTAAATCTTATTGGAATATTTAAAGTTAGAAAATATTAAATGTCAAACTGAGCATAGTAATTAAAATAATCATGATAGGATTAATAAACAAGTCCCCCCGCACCGATTCAAATACTTGATATATTACTCGTAATTGCATGAATTGCCGAATATTCTTATTTGTTTAATAATCGAGCATTGTTTAGTATTCAAATTTGCTTCGTTTGTTTTTTTATCATCAAAACCAACAATAATGAAGTAATTCGTTTACCAATTGGTTTACAATCGAAACAAATGAATTTAGATAGTAGGTAAACCGACAAAACAAATGAATTTATTTGTTAAGTCTGATTCAGATATCTTCTGACAACCGTCATCCCTCGAACCAGACTCAGAGTTTATCGCCTTAACAATATAATTCACTGATCCATTAATGGGTACAAATGAGTCAAAGACGGTTACCACAGTCATTTCATTACTCACACCCGAATGGCCGAATCCAAAACCACACTCTTACAATCGAAAGAAATAAAACAACAACCTAACACGGACAAATTCAAACTATTAAAATAAATAAAAGCAAAAAAATAATTTTTTTCACTCAACCTTCCAAGAATCATTGGCGGCGATTCAGGAGGGGGTCGGATCGCCTTCACTTCACCTTCTTCCTTCATCGCCTTGATCGGTCCTTGAGTCACTTTCAGCCGAATCACACTATCCACGAACGAATTGTCGGAAGACGACACCGCTCCGCACATGCTGGATCCACTTGATCATATGTCAATGCATAGAAGAAAAGAGAAAAACCTATCCGCACTAAAACGGCGACCATAACACTACTCCATAGACGGGGTTAGGTCATGAATAAGACTAATTAAATGAGATTGGACAAATATAAGACCTGTTTTAGTATCATCCAAAAAAGAGACCACGTGTGTACTTCATTTAAAAGTTTTAGAATGAAAATATCAAAACTATCCCTGCTTTCTAATCAACATAACGCAGCCACTTTCATTTCCAATCACATGAAAATGCTATACAGGCAAAGCAAAATTACAAAAGTACTTCGTATGACTTTATTAGTTTATACTCGGTTACCTCTTCCCAGTTACACTTACCCGACCCGTCCAGTTACAGTTACTCGATCCGTCCAGTTACAATTACCAACTCATCCAGTTACAGTTACCCGACTCATCCAGTTACAGTTACCCGACTCGTTCACTTACAATTAATCATTTACCCCGACCCGAATTCCAGTTACAATTGTCTGACTCGTGCAGTTACAGTTACCCAACCCGTCCAGTTACAGTTACTCGACCCGTCCAGTTACAGTTACCCGACCCGTCCAGTTACAGTTACCCGATTTGTCCAGTTACGGTTAAACGACACACTCAGTTACAGTTACATGACTCGTTTACTTATAATTACCCAATTACCCAACCCAGTTTGATAGTGATCAACGCTAGCCGCTGCCACCGGTAACCACTGATGACCACCACAAGCAACCGCCAACCGCCAACAACCGCCACCACTGCCGGCCACCAACTCAGACCACCACCGGCAACCGCCGCCACCGCCAGCAACCGCCACCACTGCCGGCCACTGCCTCGGAGCACCGCCCCACTCCCCATCCCCCTCCCGCAGCCCCAATCCCTGCACAGTCTTATTCCACCACCACACCACACCCTCCACCGCCGTCTGCGACATTTGACTCTACCGGCAACCCAAGCGCTCCAACCAGCCTGCCAGTCCATCACAAGCCACCACCGTGACCTGCCCCATCACTACCCCAGAAATCCGGCGACTCCACCGGCCCTGGAACAGTTCCAATGTCCAATAGCCCCGCCATCTCTGGTCACCAGAGCACAACCACGTTCCGACCCCAGCTGTCACAGCCCCACCACCGCGCCATGCGTCCTCCACTACCCGCCCCTTACCCTAAACACCATCGTCGATCCAAATCTGCAGATTCGAAATCCAGATCTAAATTCGACGGTCGGAAATGTTCCTTTGGTGATCGACACGAAGAAGACAGTAACCGCCCATACGAAGATGAAGACAATTGTGCTCCACATCTCCGGCAAAGCTATTGCGGCCCTACCGCCTCCAAAAATCGCAGCAAAAGAAAGAAGGAAGAAGAAGAAGTCAGCGGCGCAGCTAATCTTCTGGAGCAACCTGGTGCTGCGACGACCTGCAGGTGAGGAACCACCGTGCGACTTTGAAGAAAGATGATAAGGAGCTGCAAGATTGGGAGTAAGTACTGACGACGGGAATTTTGAGAAGAGGAAGGAAGAATAAATGGGGCTAATTCGGCCACTTTAGAAACATTTGGTCTCATTTTTGTCCTACACAAAACTTGGTTCCACTTTTGTCTGCTGAAGAGTCCTGAGTATTAGTTTAGACATTATTTCTAGTAATAATCTCAAATTAGCGGTTCGCTCATATTAATCTCAACTATCGATTATTTCAGAATAATCCCAACTTTATGGACCTTCCGCCAATAATGATCCTTATAAATATATTCTTGTAGTTTCTAAAGTGGATGAGAAGAGATATAACAAGCTAAGTAATCCCTATAAATAATCCCAACGTTTAATTTTTACGCTTATTTCTATTTGAAATTCACTTGTTATAGGAGGTAATATCTGGTCATGGACCATTATCGGCGGACGGTCCATATAGTTGAGATTATACAAAAATAATCAATAGTTGAGATTATTGTCGGCGGACCGGCAATTGTTGGGATTATTAATTTCAATTTCTCCATCTTTTAAAAGTTTAATTTAATTTGCTTCGTTTGTTAGAGCATCTCCAATGCTAAAATGTGCACGGTGCACATGTGGCATGTGTATGTGATAGCCACATAAATATTAGCAAATAAATTATCTCTCTCATTATTTGAATGATTTTATACAATTTTGGTAAGTTTTTCCCTGCAATGTCAACTGCAATGTCAACATTTAGACGGTCTCCTTGACATTGTAGAGAAAAACTTACTAAATCTGTATAAAATCATTAAAATAAGGAGAGAAAGAATTTATTTATTAATATTTATGTGGCTATCTCTCATGCCACGTGTGCACCGTGCACATTATACCATTGGAAATGCTCTTAAACTCAAATGTTGGAATTCGAAAAAATTTAAATGTTAATCTTATTAAAGCAAACTTTCTAATAGTGTACGGAGTATGTATTTGAATATGTATATTTATATAATTCAGATGTATCTGAATACTGTTCGGATCAAATATAATAGTGTTTGTATTGGCATTCCAAAACTGCTTGAATCAAAAAATCATAATTTATTTATATTCTGTTTATTCACATCTGAATCAACATTTCTGAATTCATTCTGAATTCAAATCGAATCATATATATAATCAAAATTATTCGATTCCTTTCAAAAATCATAATTTATTTATATTCTGTTTATTCACATGTGAATCAACATTTCTGAATTCATTCTGAATTCAAATCATAAATACAATCAAAATTATTCGATTCCTTTATAACATTAGTTGTACTTGTTCATCAAATGTTTATATTAGAAACTTGAACCATTTTGAGGTGTTTATGTAAAATAATGTTTGAGATTGACTGTACAATACAACAATTGATTGTCAACGGTTTGAATTAAAGCTAAGGTCGGTGAAAATGTGTATGAAAAAGTTATTCAAAGGATATTGGTAAAAAAATGTTACCAAGTTAACTTTCTGAAAACTTGCTTCTTGTGTTACCTTAAGTTACTTTAACCTAGTTGAATGGTTTCTTATTAATCCCTACCAAAAACATAACGACCGTTTGGAAATTGGAAGAATTAGCTTTTTCAAAAGTCAAAAAAGCTAAATTATTTTAAAACGATAAATTGTAGCAACGAACGGCACTGAACAAACACAACCCGTGGAATACTCTAATGTTTGCATTATCTCACTTGGTCATCCTAATCCTAATTATTACTCGTATATGGAGAACTCAATTATTGTCTCTTAGATAGATTCTATGTTACCTAACCATAAGTTATCATACATTTGTCTACATGGACCAATCAAAATGATGCAATTGAATTATTTAAATCTAAATTAAAAAGGATATAATGATTTGGACCAATCAAATGCACAGTAGAGACGGTACCTCAATTTTTAAATGGGTACTGGAATTGTCACCTTTTTTTATTAATTAAACCAAAAAAATAGTAATAGCTTCTCCCTAGTCTCTGCACTAATGGACAGGTTTCGATCAGGATTTGGACTTTTTTACTTAGCAAAAACAAGGCCCATTATATTTAGGGTGTGTTTGCTAAGTAGATGAAAAAAACTTCTATAAGCCAGCTTTTAAGTAGTTGTTATTTTTTAGTAATTGAAAATGTCTTAAAAGAAAAATGTCTTAAAAGAAAATTACGGTTTGATTTAATTCTATTTGGCTATGAGTAAATGTGAGCAAATGACTAGCTAGAAATCTAGAATCTCACAGCCGTAGGGGAGATTATTGAGGAATAACAAACTTGATACTTTCATTTATTTACGAGATCATTTAATTATTGTCGGTGATCTCTCTCTAGGACTCTCAGCCATTAGGGTTTGTTTTTCCGCTCTCGGTTCCGAGGTGCGGCCGGGCTCCGGCAGGCAGCTTCCGTTTTCACGTGCAGACAGAAGGATGAAGCGCGAGCAGGTTCGCAGCGAAGCAATCTTGAGTAGGTAGGCCGGTGCTTCAGTTTCAACGTTTCTGGTACCAAAGGCCGACGCAGTAGGGGTGATTCGCTTTGATGAAAGACGTGGTCCATCAACACAAACTAATGGCTATTGGAGAAAGCATGGAGTTTCCAGTGGTCGAATCGTGATGTCGGATCAGAAGATCAAAATTCAAGGGTTCAATGATGGTCTACATGCGAAAGAAGACGAAGAGATGTTGATCCGTCCCCCTCCTGAATCGCCGCCATGGAAGAATTGTGTGAGTAGGGTTTGGACGACTATTTTTATTTCCGCTAAGACATTTGTGTTTTGTTTTTCTTTCATTTTATGCTGTAAGACTCTTGCTTTAGGTTTGAGGGATGAGAGGTCTACGGTAATCGTCGTTGGCTTTATGTTGCCCAAGTTAGGTCTAGCGAGTTATATTGCTTTGTCAAAGGTGATTAACTCAGAATCTCGACCAAGGGCGGATGGTTACATGTGGTCCTTTTGTTTGCTTTTATCCCAGCTGAATGCTATTTTATCAATATAAGCCTCCTTCATAAAAATGCCTTAATAGCATGGGTTCGAGGTTTTGTGTCTAAATCTAGGGTTCTATATACAAAGACTATCTGAATGACCTATATTATTCATGTGATATATTCCATCCATGTGTTAGGATATTTTTACTTAGACTGTAATTTGTTCCAGACCATACCAGACCAAATCAGATCAGACTAAACTAGACTTGGATAGTTATAAAAATACAAAGAAATCAGACCAGACCAAATCAGACCAGACTAGACCAGACCAGCAAATTACCGTCCAAATTAAAACATCCCTAGTACGTGAAGGAGATTGCAATTATTAAGCTCTTTCTAAATTCTAATGATATGAAAATTGATGGGAAATATTAAAGTTCCCAAAATTTATGTGTGACAACCATACAACTATCAATGAAATATTACTCTAAAGACATTGACATATACAACTATCAATGAGCTGATTAAAAACATAAAATGTAAAAAAACGCCAACCTCTTACAAACACGATTTTTATTCTTCTAGTAAATGTTTTCGCATAATTAAAAATTAATGAGTTGTCTGTGACTATTCTATCAGTCTATGCTTTAATTTGAATGGTCTATTTTTTTAAGAAGGGGTTTAAATTGATAAAACAACATTCAGATAGAGTTTGAAATAACAAAAGAACCACCTGTAACCGTCCGCCTTTAAACCAGACTCAAAGTTAATCACCTTTGACAAAACAATATAACTCGTTGATCCTAACTTGGGCATAATTGAGCCAACGACGATTAATGCAGACCTCTCATCACTCAATTCTAATGCAAGTGTCTTACAGCAAAAAATAAAATTAAAACAAAAAACAACAGTCTCAATGTGGGAACTAACATGCAAAAAAAACAATAAAATAAAAATCAAATTTTATCTTCGATCATCAGCAGAAAAACCACTTGCATAATCGGCGGGTCTAGAACCCAGGACCCGCAGTCTCCCCGTATTTTGCTTTAGGGAAAACTGTCAATTTGGTCTTCATACTTTCATGAAAAAGTCAATTAGGTCCTCATACTTTTAAAAAGATCAATCAAGTCCCCGAACTTTGTAAAAATGTTCAATTGAGTCCATTTGCAGGTTACTTGCCATGTCAACAGGTCACCCGCTAACGTGTCGCGCATGTGGCAGCCCAATCAGTAATAATTTTGCTGACGTGGCACACATGTGGAAGCCCAAACAGGCATTTGTTGATGGCAAGTAACCTACAAATGCACTCAATTGAACGAAGACCTAATTGACTTTTTCATGAAAGTACGAGGACCAAAATGGCAATTTTCCCTTTGCTTTATCCAAAACCATATTTTCATCCTCAGGGTCCTCTTCTGCCTGCTCTTACCGAATCCTTCTACGCTTCTAGTCCACTGGCACCTCCCTTGCGTTTTCCATGTCTCCTTATTTAGTAACACTATTATTAGATCCAGCGGTAGATCTCACCCTCCTTGCTCCCTGGTCCCTTCACCTTCTAGTCATGTTCTCCTCTGTTATTTGACCAATCTTGAACCTGAGGGTTTTTCCACTAACCACTTATTGCCCCCTATCGGACTGATCTCCCCCCCCCCCCCCCAGTTGCTCTAAATTCAACCCCAAAAGATTTTTCCGCCACAAAATCCTCCTCATATTTCAAGGGACAAAACTTATCAGAATGTCCAATAACCCCACAAATGAAAAAGAAATTGGGTACTTTTTCATATTTAAAATCCACCTAATGTCCATTAATCCCTCTCGTGAGGGTTCCTTACATCCATTCTCACCCTAACTCTCAAATAAGACTCTCACTTTTCATCAAAATGACTCTAATCAAAACGAATAAACTTGCCTATATAATTTCACACGCTTCTAGCAGTGCCTATATTCATAAACTTATATGAAACATTGTGCACATGCATCCAGAACTCAGTTTCACATAAAATGTAAACATGCCTGAGCCTCGAAACATTCATGAGTTGAAGAGTTTGCAAGGGAAAGTGGCTTAGATATGCAGGTTCATATCGAACTTATCATCTTGTCCAACCGCCTTAAGCACTAATAAATTTCTCTAAAATAACGACAGACCATCTTCAAGAACACGATTCATATCCACAATACGATAAAAAGTAAACAAATACCTTTTAGCGCCTATCTCCTTGATTGATACCCTTTTGCTTGGACGCCAAATTGAGGCCAACAGGTCCTTTAAAGCCTGAAAATTGATTTTCTGATCTGTGAGAAAAATTCCCATCACCGGGAATTTAGCCCCCTTCTCGGCTGTATCAAACTCCCCATCTTCTTCATCGTCATCATCAAAATTCAAGTTGTTGTTCTCTTCCCCAATAGCCATCTTTTTATACTGAAAAACGACCTCCTCCATAGCCCGAAACGAAACTCGACATTGATGGAATCCGCCTTCTAATGATGTTAACAAGGAGAACCAATATTCTCTGCCAACACCATCGTTACTGTCGACCGTCTTCAGCCTAGACCCGCTCTAGCCTTCATCCTTGACGCTGACGATATAGTCAAGACCTCGACTTCACCTTTCACCCTACTTCGTCCGAAAACGGAAAATCGAAACGCTACTCTAGGAACCCGAGCGGAAAATGGTTAATTAATGTTTGATTGAGTTGAGCGATGTTTTAAAATAATTGACTTAATAATATGTGTTATAACTTATAACGTATAAGCTGAGTTATAAAAAGGCGGCGGGTATTAATATATTATTGTCTGTATAAGTTATTCATCTTTTCATTAACATCACATGTCCACTTACTTTCATTCTCAGCTTATGAGTTTTACGGTTGGATTGAGTGTTAAAGAGTGTTAGTAATGGAAGTGTTAGTAAGTGTTGATATTAACACTTGTTTGGGAGAAAAATTAAGAGGTGTTAAGAAGTGTTAGTAAATAGTAAAAGTTAGGAAGTGTTAATAATAAGTTAATAACCTTCCCAACACCTCAATTGTCCACTTTTTTAACACTTCGATTTGGAGTGTTTTGAGGGGTTGGACAATTGTTAATCTTCTCATTTATTCTAAAAACATAAAATGTTTCGATATCTCACTTCAAATCTCTTTACCGCAAGTATGATGATCTGTCTTTTTCATCTTTTCTTCTTACTCGTTTCTTTGGCCTCAAGGTAAAATTAGTAACACTTCCACTATTAACACTTCATTCATTTGACTCTCCCAAACAAGCTAAGGTAAAATTATGTCTAACACTTACACTTCTCTTCTATCCTGGGCCCCTACTAATACTTCCATTACTAACACTTTCAAACACTCCATCCAAACAGGCCCTTAAATAAGATTAAATGCATGTGTTCAATATTTTTAACGACTTGAAAATTTGAAATGTGTTAGCAAACACAAACTAAGAATGAGAATTGAATCATTCTTAAATCACTATTTTAGGTCTAAGGTAAAATATTTTTAGGTGAAAATTCAAGTACTCATTTGAAAAATGGGGTAACGTACCTATAATGCATTTGATTGTTCCAAATCACAATATCCTTTTTAATTTAGATTTAAATAATTCGGCTGCATCATTCTTATTGGTCCATGTGGACAATATGCTACCTTATAGGTACCATAGAATCTACCATATTTTTATTGAACTCGAGCGTTCTAACATCAATCAAGGACAATAGTTGAAAGTATAGAATACGTAGTAAAATAAATATAAAGACATATATTATTTGACTTAAAACATGACAATTTAGCAAGAATTTATTAGACAACGTAATATTTAATTGCAACTTGTTTAGAAGAATGTCCAAAAAAATGCAGCTTGTTCATTTCTTTCGGATGTAATATCCAAAATTGTAACATGTGTATTTTTTGTTACTTTCTTTTCTCTAGTACATTAAAGTTCAAGACCTATGACTAAAATATGATTGAGAAAATGATTTATTTATAGCTAAAATGCTATAATATAAGATATGAAATAAACTGTATTGGTGAATATTATGTTATATACATACTTTTAAGCTTATATGAGTATCAAATATAATTACAATCAACATATTAATTACCAAGCAAACAACACACGAAAACACGTACAGTTTATTTATTATGCTTAAAAGTAAAAACCTCATCATATAAGGAATAAGGTAATGACATTAGAATTTTTTTGTGTGAGGGTAATCACATTAGAATTAATTCATTGAGGGTAAGAGTGGAATCCATCTAACCCAGCTATCAATATATATAAGATAACTCTTGGATCAAATGATCGAAGCATTACACAAAACAAGTATAGTATGACTTGTTTTCCTTTAATGACTCTAGTTAGTAAGTAGTAATTACAGGTACTGATTGTGATTTCGACCACTTGATCCCAAAAATGGGAAATTCGAACCAAAGCTTACTCATGGAAACCAAAATCATGATTCGGTTTATATTGGTTCTAGATAGAAGCCAATTATGAGGTTCCGTCTCGCCATCGTAATTTGGTTAGGTTCTCGGTGGAATTTCTTGATGAAAATTCTTGAACATCTTATTCATTAAGTCTAGTTTAGTCATACCGAATTTCAGCTAAAAATTCAATCGGGAAGACAGTCAAATGAATTTTTGAAGATAACTGCGCAGTTAAACTACACAATATATTTTCGAAAATCATTTGAGTGCCTTCCCGGTTTAATTTTTAGCTGAAATTTGGTATGGCTAAACTAGACTTGATGGAGAAGATGCTAAAAAAAATTCATCAAAAAATTCCACCGAGAACCTCCCCAAATGACGATGATCAGTCAGAACCTTCTACAAAAGGGCTTATTTGCACTTTTTTGATTAGTTCCAGGGCTTATTTGCCCATTTTCCCTTCTATATACAACCTCCAATTTACTATTTACAACCCCAAATCAAATAATACCTATTTCACCCTTCTTAAATCAGCCCCATCCATCCATACTGAGAGACGAGAGCCATCCACTCACTCTTCCAGCTCCATCCCCGTACGGACTAGAACAAAAGTAAAAACTAATGAAATTTTTCCTTAAAAAATTCTAATGTTTTGAGATACGCCCGTTGATGCTCCGAGTCAAAATCTGTGCAACCAGATAAACAGTTATAAAAAGATGGTTTTAAAATTGATTTTCCTTATTCTTTTCGATAATGTTATTTGTCGAAAAACACGATCTAAAATACTTGTGGCAATTTTATTACACTTCCCATCAAAGTGCCGGTTCATTACTCAGAATATATTTTGTCAAGGAAGGCAGATTAGGTATTTGATGGTCGGGTTAGTTATTTCCGTCGCTGTACAAATGCTATTGCTGGGTTTGAAATCCCTTGCTGTATCAGCCTTTACGATCGATGATAAGCCACGAAACAGGAACGGGAACAATGGTTATATTGCTATAAGGGTAAATTAGATATTTCAGTTAATTTGATGGCTGTATTTAGCGATCATTTATATATAAAAACGAATATATAAAATTTTGGGTTGCTTTGTCATGGAACCTGGGACTGTATAGGGACTAACAACTACAGAGAAAAATTGTGCTCCTACATTACATGGATGAATAAAGAATAATATTTTTAAGTTCTATTTAGAGCAATTTACTGTTGTTAAATTGACTTCATCCTTGGCTCCTGGCCGTCCAGTTCTGTCCGGTGAACGTGAAGCACTCCGGCGAGCAGTTTCTATCTTCCCCTCCGGCAGTTTGCGGCGGCATGGAAATTCCTCCGTATCATCCTCTTTATTACTTGCATGGCAGCAACTTATTCCATCTTCATGTATATTTGAAGGAGTTCTGCCGCAGGTCCACAGGTCTAGCACCGTCAACACAATGATACACCTGCAAAGAAAGCTAATGAAAGAATCAACGGCTCGAGACGCGTAAACGCTGTCCTCTGAAAGTATTTTCGGTGAATGGAAATCTTCCCCCAGAATTAAACGAGCCCTTCGACATATAGTCGGAACCAAAACTACGAGGGAAATTATCATGATAATCCAGCAGAAGCTTTTGTGAGAAAGCATTTTAATGAAGGACTTTGTAAAGGTAATTTTCAGAGGATAGTTAGAAGCCGAAGTGTTCTTATCACCTCACCAGGATGTCTCTTTTTATATTATTAATATAATAAAGGAATTAAGTAACGGATGGATATTTGGATCCTAAAAATGTGGAGATGAAAATGCTAAGCCAAGTAAAGCTGGTCAGCCTAAAACGCACGTTACCAAACCCAAGACCCACATGATCGCCAAATAAACATTTCGTTACAAAATAATTTATTTATTTGAAATAGAATTAATTTTCCAACATTTACATGGTTAATTATGCAAAACCTTGTTATTAAATCACATGATCCCTATAGTAAAAAATGATCCCAAAGCATTTGTAGATTATAACCAACATATTGAACAGCATCACAATCATTCATGAAAACAGACATCGTAAACGAGACAAACTTCTGGATTAGGTGAACTTATAGATCTGATTATCTGAAAGACTGAAACAGACATATATTTTGGGCTTGGCAGTCTAAAGCCCTGGACCGCTATGGCCCACAAAAAGTATACCCACTAAGTAAGGGCCCTTTTCGGGTCAATAAGTTGGCATGTGGCCCAAATCATTTGAATTCAAAAGGTAGGAAAATGCCACTTCGAAATAAGCACTGTCCCGCTCTCGCTGTAACGAGTCGATGCCCAGCTGTCACAAGTACGTTGAGATCCCGGGCCCACACAGTTACGCCTCACCCTCGTGTCTGTATTTTTCAATTTTTTTTTTTTGTTTTAAATTCCCATTTGCTGGCTCACTCTTTCCAGTTCAGAAACTCCACTCACTCTCTCAATCTCGAGGTATGTTCTTCTTATCTTACTGACAAGTTGGATCTCGTCCTCCTTTTCGATTCATCTAGGTTCAGATTTCACTTCCCGCATCTTTCTGTGATTGACTCCAATGGCGGCTTAGTTTCGTTGTTATTTGCCTAGTTTTTGCATGATTCTCCTCGCCTTTGCTGCCTGCAATTGTGACGGGAATAAGCAATTAAGCATATTAGTTTTTTGTTGATTTTTTTGTGTTTTGTCTCGTTTATCTTGCTGGTAATCATGATCTAGATCTTGTTTAGTGATCTTGTAACTTCCGTCATTGATTTTTAGGTGTAACTGAAGCTTATTTCGTGTCTTGCTTTTCCAGCATTATTTGGAGGTGACATGGAATCTCATTTATCTGTTTTGCTGGGTTATTATATTTAATTTATCTTGTTTGTTGTTAAAAACACTTGGCAAGTTTAGATACAAAAAGTCTGCGGCCTAAAGAGGCATTGTTTTCCTATAAATCAAGTTTAGATCTATAAAAATCAAATGTTATACGATCGTCTTCCTAAAATAGCTTTAAAATTTACAAAGATGATCTGTAATCCCTGTTCATTCATGCTCTATTGAAGGCTTGAAGCCAAAGGTGAATATTATGTGATCTGTGAAGTACTGAATTGTTGTTGTTTAATTAATAAATGTTCGAACAGTTTGTATCGCTAGAGGAGTGGCGGGCTTGTCTTAATTCCATAAATTTGAATTACTGGTCTTGCTGTTACAAAAAAAAACACAAAAAGTTGGCAGCATATGTTACTGTGCCTTTGCATGCTTGTTGGGTTTTTACTTTTTAGTGCCGTGTGCCCGTGTAGCAAGTGTTATTAGGCTGAAATTACTGAATTTTCTGAACGGATAAGCCGTTGGTAAACCTCATTTCAGCTAAATAAGGTAAAAGCTAAAGTACCGTAATACTACGTACTTATTTTCATCTCTCTACGGGTGATAAAATAGGGCGACTAATGACTACCAAACAGAGCTCAATTTTCTGAAACGGAAAACATCTGGTATTTGGTAACACCTATAACCTATTGCACCGAAATAAGTGTAAAACTACTTATTCAGTTATTCTTATTACTGTGCTCATAATCAAAATATGCCCACCTATGGCTACCAAATGAAGTGCGAGTCTTTTTGGTAGCCAAAAGTAGACTATTTTGCTTGGCTTTTATCTAGCCGATATGGGCTTTACCAATTGATTTTCATTGGGCATAAGTCAACATATTCAGCCAATAACTCTGGCTTGACCGTTTGTTATTTGGTTTTTTATATTTAAAAATGGGAAATGTCATGATTTTGTTTTCTTTGTTCTCAGTTTTTCCCGTAGTGTACAGCTAAGATGCCTGAGTCTGAATTTGAAATGGAGAAAGAAAATCTATCTGTTCTGGTTCCACATGGATTGAACTATGATGATGGAATGAATTTTGCATTAGAAAAGGAACTGGAAATGACCAGAGCAAAGCTAATGGCTTCAGAACAAGAGGTCACAAAGTTAAAGGCTAACCTGTCCGAAGTGATATCTGAAAACGCTCATCGGTTAAGGCATTTACAGACCCAAGCTTCTGAGCAGAGACTTGAACTGTCAAATTCATCTTCTACTATCAGCTTTTTAGAGAAGGAGCTAGATATGACTAAGCAGGAACTTGAGAGATCAGAAGAGGAGAATTACATGTTAAAGGCGCAACTTGATTCTGTCAAAAGCCATGCTTGGGAACTTGAGAGATCAGAGGAAGAGAATTACAAGTTAAAAGCTCAACTTGATTCTGTCAAAAGCCATGCTTTAGAACTAGAGGAAAAATACAGTTCCGATATAAGGAAAGTTTATTCTGAGAAGGAAAAGCTCCAATCTGACATATCTAGTTTGTTCGAAAAGCTAACCTTAATACAGGTGAAGAAGGAAGAACTAGAGATGGGAAACAAAGCATTAGAAGAAGAGCTCATTCTTTGCAAAGTAGAAGATGTGTGCTTGCAAGCAGACCGTAAATGCTTGGAAAATGAACTTGATGCCCTCAAACTGAATTTAGACACGCTAATGACTGAAAGATGTGAGATGAACACAGCACTCTCATCCAGAAATGGACAAATTCAAGAACTGCAGTCCACATGTTCAGATCTAAATGCTGTAATAGATGAACTGAGATTGAGAGTGAAAGAGTTGGAAGGAGAAGTAGATAAGCAGATCGGTGTGATATCAGAGAGGGAAGAAGAGAAGAGGGGGGTGATAAGGCAACTTTGCTTCTCACTTGAGCATTACAGAAATGAATATCAGGAGTTGCTGCGTGAGGCAAGTGTTGAGAAAAAAAGGGGCAATGATCATTGTTCCTTTATGTGTTTTCCTTGATATTGTGTTGGGTTACCAGCATTTGGATATATGATTGCCATTTGTTGTATTTCTTGTTTTTTTTTTCTCTCAGCGGAGTTATAAACCATTATTAGTTTAAAGGTTTGCTGATGTGTAACCCAGTGACTTAAGTTATCATATATTCTTTCTATTCAAAATACTATATGCCTGTTTTATTACTCATTTCAAACTAGGGGTGATTGAATTTAATTCAAAAAACTGATTTTGGTGTTTGCACTGGAAGCGGCTCAGTTTTTGTGGGTTTTGGTGAAGGTTTAACATCACTTCTAACTGCTTTTACAGTAAAAGCAATGTCACAACACAAAAAAGTACACTTTCTCGTAAAGCTAAGAATCTCAAATTTGATCAAATATGAACTTGTGGCATGAAATGAACTGAATGGGGAACATAAAGAAAAACATGTGGCAATTGGGATGGCAGAATAGACATTTGGCAATATAAGTTGCATGTTGGGCAGTACATTCAGCAAAAGAATCCAATAAGAGAACAGAAACTAATCAATGGACACTAACTACAAATATATACTCAATTACTCCAAATACTTTGGGCAAGAAGCTTAGGAGGGAACCTTCAAAGAGAAAAGAAAAAAAAAGAAAGTGGAGAGAAGAGCTAGCGAAGGAAGAGAACAAAAAAGACAAAGAAAGGAGACTAAATTCCATATATTAGTCCTCTTTTTCCATTAATAATCTCTTATTAAGGTTAGTATTATAGATTTATAGTGTCATTAATAAAGATAGGAGTATTTAGTCATAATAAACACTAATATTGATATTATAACATTACTTTATGGTGCTATTTTAGTTAAGTAAAGATAAATGGTATTTGACTAATATTTTTTCCTGCAAAATAAGGCAGTCAATGGAATCATATTAACAAATCTAGTGCATTTACATGAAACACATGCAGGGCCCCTGAAAAAGATCATAACAAGCCCCAAAACCTTATAAAGTTCAAATTACAAAAATCATGCATATATCCAGCAGCAATTCATATGAATCAAAGTGCAACTATAACCATTCTTCTGCACAATGGCAGGTCACTAACTCCTAGATGACTTGCCCACAGCTTCCTCAGTAGTATATGTAACCCCATAAAGTTTAACCATCCTGCCCTCCTTCCAAAACGTAACCTTGGGGGGTCGGGTGTTTAGCTGGACAGGGGTAAACTCGTCTATCCAATCCATTCCAAGAACCATGTCACACCCACCCATTCTCACTAGCCTCATTTCTTTCACAAAGGTTTCTCCTTGGACAGTCCACTTGAAATTGGGACAGACTAAATCACAGCTCAACTCATTCCCATTTGCCACAGTCACTTGGAGTGGTCGACTCTTGACACATTTCACACTCGCCATATCTTTGACTATTGTAGGGTCCAAGAAACTATGTGTGCTCCCACTGTCTATCATCATAACTATGTCTTTGTTCTCAACACGTCCAAGTAACATTATGGTCTCAACTCCTAAACCCCCACGTGTCACTTCTTCTGCTTCCTCCTCTTCTCTTTTGGTTTCTTCAAGGCCAGTTGTGGCATTCAGAGCTCTCCAGGTATTTTGACCATTATGACATTTTTTCTTGCAGTGGGAACAGAGCCTCAGATCTTTCACCCTTAACCATTCCTCTTCCTCTGTATCATCTTCTTTCACATAAGTCTCAGTCTGGTTCTTGAGCGATAAGTATCCATGTTCTTTATAATTCTTGACACTTTCCACACTCGCCATATCTTTGACTATTTTAGGGTCCAAGAAACTATGTGTGCTCCCACTGTCTATCAGCATAACTACGTCTTTGTTCTCAACATGTCCATGTAACTTTATGGTCTCAACTCCTACACCCTCACGTGTCACTTCTTCTGCTTCCTCCTCTTCTCTTTCGGTTTCTTCAAGGCCAGTTGTGACATTCAGAACTCTCCTGCAATTTGGACCATTATGACATTTCTGCTTGCAGCAGGAACAGAGCCTCAGATCTTTTACCCTGAACCATTCCTCTTCCTCTGTATCATCTTCTTCAAAATAAGTGTCAGTCAGGCTCTTGAGCGATGAGAATCCTTGTTCTTCATGATTCTTGGCACATTCTCGGAAAGCTGGTTCTTCCAACTCCTCCACGCTTCTGTTTGAAGGATTAAGTCTTGTACGCATTTCTCCCAACACGTTCCCTGCAACCCAATTCTCAGGCTCGCGTGTCTCATGCAATGGAAGATTCACAGAATGTGCCTTTAAAATCTCATAAATTTGATACATCTCGAAGCAATCTCTGCGCCTCCTAATCGACGCCATGGGGTTGTGGTCGTTATCAGGAAGATTAACTTCAGGCTGGGGGATTATAGGCCGTTCGTGTTCTTGGTTCACAAAAGAAACGTGCCCTTCATTCCGACCCCGGGAGAGAAGAAGAGAAGGGTGGAAGGGAAGGAGATGAGGCAGAGCCATACCAGCACCCACTGGGGAGGGAGCCGTTCTTCTTTCCATCTCAGCTCTTGCGGATTGTAGGGTCTGTGTTCAGCAACGATGAGCTACGGGAAGAGAATAATATTCTACGGAGTATTCTCTGGAAGAATGACTGTACAAATTTAGCCGTGGGACTTTGGAACGCAGAGCCGGAAAACTCAACGGGAAAATCGAATCCTTTATTGACTTAGAGCTAGTTTGGCAGCACAAAAATCGGATCTTTTGGCAGATTCTTGAAATTTATTTATGAAGTGTTTGCATTGAATGATTCTACTGATTTAAGAAAAATTTAATTTTAAAATATATTTTATTAATAAAATAAATAAATAATTATATGTAAAAATAGTTAAAATGATCATCTACAATATCTTCAGTCAATACAGGCAGAAAAGTAACTCCAACATTACTTTTTCTGCTTATTACATAATTCAGCGCGCGAAAGTAAAAATTGCGTGTTTGGTGAAAAAGTTGGTCGATTAGTCTGATAAGTCGAAAAACAATGTTGCCAAATGACCTCTTAATCATATGAAGTTTCCAAAATTAGGACTCCAGATATGCATAAGACATAAGTACAACTGCTTTGACAATATTACCCTTACTTTTAAATTCCATAGCAGACCACAACTCCATTTGAATAGGATTTCTTTCAAGCCTAAGCACTCACCGTCTCAATTGAAAATTTTCAGAAAGTTTAAACGAAAAAGACGGCTGGGAGTAACCAGCTACGAAGAACGGCAAGGAAATTCAGATGAAGAACGGAAGGAAATTCAGAAGAAGAATGGCGAGGAAATTCCGAAGAAGGGAAGGAGGTTCTGACGAAGAACGAGATCCGACGAAAAACGGAAGGAAATTTGACGAAGAACTTTTAAGCAGTAAATGGCAAAGAGAAAGAAAAGATCGAAGAAAACGCGAAGAAGGAAGAAAACTCTGAAAGTGATTTCAAAACAAAGATGCCTAAGTTAGTCCCAGTAAAATGGAGAAGGAAAGGGAAATTATGCTTCAATCTGACTAGGTAATCTATTCAATAAAGACTTTGTCAGAGAAAAGTAATTATAAAATTTTCATGGAATGATTCTCAAGTATATTTTCTACAAAGCAAGAGAGATATAATGAAATATAAGGAGAGAAACTGACTAAACTCGATTTAATTGAAGAGATGAAATCTGGAAACATTTATTGGAAAAAATGTCTAGGTAGAGAGAATATTAAAATGACAAAAAAAACATAGATTCACCTTTGCAGGTTTTACTTTTGCATTTTGTAAACATGTGCATTTGAAAGTTTCTTAGCTCTTAAAACTACATATATTTGTAACTTAGAGGAAGAAAGAAAAAAGATGTTTCCTAGATTGTTGAAGTGGTCTGCACCAAGGAAAACAAATGTTGCGACATAAGCAGATGTCATATATTTGATTTGAATAGATCAAATTGTTTCTAATGTCTATATTGTATGTAATGCAATTTATTGCTTTGTGATATGCACTAACTTAGGGTATGCATATTTTCTCTTATGTGATGCAGTTTGAATATCAGAAAATGCAATCAACTAAGGATAAGCTTAAGATTCCAATGCTAAATGCATTGTATGCAAACAAGGTGAATGAGCCTGTTCAATCAAGCCATCTTATTTTGAAACTTGGGTCACCAAAACAGATAACAGATGTTTGTGTTGATGGAAATAATCGAGAAGATGGTAAAGTTCATGAATGTGGGATTGGACATCAACAAAAGTCATCTAAAGTTGCACACTTAAGGGGGTGTATTGTATTAGGATTTAGTGGCAAAATTTTAAAAGTACATGGATTTTAAAAGTTTAGGTGTATTCAATGTGGACTTTTAAAAGTCCATAAAAGTCTAGGTGTATTCAATTCGGACTTTTAAAAGTCTATAAAAGTCTAGGCGTATTCAAATTTCCGTTCATTCTTATTGACTTCTAAAATCATGGATTCTCGTGGACTTTTAACTCATTTTTAGTGCAAAAATTCTCTACGATTGTCTCTTCTCCTCACCAAAGATTTCTGTGAACTTTTCTTATATCGGTTGTTCATCCCATCCCACCCCATTCCTCCCCTCCCTCCTAGGGATGGACCGGGCCAGACCCGGTTTCTGTTCCGAGTCGGGCCCGGCCGGGCTTGGAATTTTTTGGGTAAGGCCCGGGACCAGCACGGGAGTCTACCGGTATCGGGCCGGGCCAGTTCCGGGTTGGGCCGGGCCAGTTCCGGGTTGGGCCAGGCTGGTTCATTTTTTTCGATTTTCTTATATATTCCAACCCTCACCCCCCAAACCCCTCCAAAACACCCAGCCTACCTACCATAGGCCCAACCCCCCCCCCCACCCAAAAAAAAAAACAAATAAGGCCTGGACCGGGCCCGGACCAGCCGGGCTGGTCCTCAAATATGCAGTTCCGGAACCGCCCCAATTAATCCCCTCGGGTCGGGCCTAGGCCCGGTACCGATCCAACGGGCCGGGTCGGACCCGCACAGTGGCGGGCCGGGCCGGGTCCCGGGCCAGTCAGACCGGCCTTGGGCCAAGCCTACTCCCCCCCTCCCCCAACTCTACTCTTCTTTAGCCAAGCCACACCTTCCTCTTCAATCTTTCTTTTTTTTCTTCTTCAACCCAGCTCGCCCACCCCTCTCCTTCCATTCTTCTTCTTCTTCTTCTTCTTTAGCTTGCCGTCCCCAGTCCACCCCCTCAATTCAGTAATCCTATATTGATTCGATTCTAGAAGTTTATAGAAGAACCGATATAAGAATCGATAGTATTACATCAATGCAATTCTGATACGTCATCAGTTAACCATTAAGAAAATAAATATTTTAACTACCACTTTCTTTCATCGTTAAATCACTTAACACATATAAATATAATTTCAAATTAATAAATATATAACCATAAATACATATACAAGTTTTTACAAGATAGAAGTTAAAAGAAAACAATCACTAGGTAGAAAAGCTCGATTGCATTTATGCTTGTACCACATGTAGCAATGAGTGTAACGCTTGCATTTTATTAATGTTCTTAATCATTAATAAAATGGCCAAAATTCTCGAGCATTTTTGAAACTTTGAGTTTTTTTTAATAAACTCAAAATTTGAATTCTTATGCTTCATTTATTTTTGTAGAACTTTGTCTTGCTATTTGAATTACATTTTTTCATTTATTTATTTATTTATTTATTTATTTATTTATTTATTTATTTATTTATTTATTTATTTATTTATTTATTTATTTATTTATTTATTTATTTATTTATTTATTTATTTATTTATTTATTTATTTATTTATTTATTTATTTATTTATTTATTTATTTATTTATTTATTTATTTATTTATTTATTTATTTATTTATTTATTTATTTATTTATTTATTTATTTATTTATTTATTTATTTATTTATTTATTTATTTATTTATTTATTTATTTATTTATTTATTTACTTATTTACTTACTTACTTACTTACTTACTTACTTATTTCTTATCGTACTCCGTATTATATAGAGGAAATCACTCACGGTAGGACTAAAACATAGCATTATTCTTAAAGTATGATTAAATGTTTGGTTTTTCTTAAATGGGAATAAATATTACATATTCACCCCTAATTTAATTAATTAATTAATATAATTAATTGTCCCTAGTTCCCTTTCAGAACCTAAGCCATTTTGTTGGTGACGCGTCAGTCCGATGACGACAGCGGGGAACTCCGGTGATGGATGTGGACAGGTCACAGGCATATCGGTAGCGACAATCTAGGTGAAAATTTTGACGAACAGCAGTGGCGGTCCGCATTTAAAAGTCTATTGACTTTTTGAAAGTCAATAAACTTATCCATGGATTTAAAAGTCCATAGAATTCATTCATAAAAAAGTCTATGGATTTAAAAGTCCATTGACTTTTTTAAAAGTCTATGGATTAAAAAAAGTCCACAACAATCCAAATTGAATACACCCCCCTTAGTGTATACAATGTTGGACCAAATAGGGGAATGAGATGCCATGGGCATAGGCCGTTTATGTCTACATCCCATTGAACATAGAAGTGCATTTGATACTTTTGGTTCTAGACTTTAATCATAAACGCATCAGAGTGTTTGATTCCCTAAAGAGTAGAGGACATTCGTTGTTGACGAGCACTTCGTCGTAGTGCGTCAAAATAATATTCGATACTAACACTTATACGTAGTATAAGTAAAGTAGAGTTCGTATCCACGGGAAAAAGAATAATTCTCTTTTTAATAAAACTAGCAAATAAAGGGGAGTTTTGGGATAGAGTGATTTAATTTAATTAAACACGAAGATGAACGATATGAGATTTAATTCAAGAATAAAAAGGACTTGGTCTTGTTATTTTCCACTTGTTGATATATTTTAGTCGATCATTGTTATATCTATAATTCATCCCCTCTCGAATACTCAATCGAGGAGTATCTCCAATTCATCGAGGGTAGTTATTAACAATGACCGTTCATTAACAACTCTTACTATTAATCAAATATAGAACAACGTCGTATACCGATTTTATAATAGCATTTAATCTTTTTAACTCCTTGATGAAATCAATTGAGATTGATAACCTAAACGCAACGGTTTCGGTTTAACCGACAAAATTAATCACTCTTAAGTTTATTAACCACGACCGTGCATTAATAAACCGAAGTTATTTACATGTAAAACCATCAATGATTAACCTTCGGTTCGTTGATCGTTTCTAGTAATAATCAATGTCGGAACGTTAACTAATCGTCACTTAGCAATCCTCCAACATTAATATAGAATGAGATTAAGGGAAGAATTAATAATCAAGAGAAGAAGTTAAGAAAATAACTCACAACTTTAATAGTCAACAAGCTTCAAGAGCAAAACCAAGAAATGAGAGTTTAGCTCCTCATTTGGAGACTAAACATGCTATAGAAATATAAGAAATAACTATTCTAAACTGAGCTTAAGAGTATGGAAGAAGAAATGAATTTTAGTGAAGAAAAAATGTGCTATTTATAGGTGTTTTTCAACACCTTTGGCCAGGTACCCGACCGGGTAAAGTGCCCACCCGACCGGGTGCATGTCAAAATCAGATAATCTTCCACGTTCTTGTGTTTCAGCACATTAAAATGTCTCGGGTCAAATCTCACCCGACCGGGTGCATTAATTGACCCGACTGGGTCCAGCTCTTTCCTCTGAG